GTAATCTCAGCATTTTGGGAGGCCGAGGCAGGCAGATCACCTGAGGTCAGGAGTTCAAGACTAGCCTGACCAACATGGAGAAACCCTGTCTCTACTAAAAATACAAAATTAGCCAGGTGTGGTGGCGCATGCCTGTAATCCCAGCTACTTGGGAGGCTGAGGCAGGAGAATTGCTTGAACCTGGGAGGCAGAAGTTGCGGTGAGCCGAGATTGTGCCACTGCACTCCAGCCTGGGCAACAAGAGCAAAACTCCATCTCAAAAATAAAATAAAATAAATTAGTCAGTCATGGTGGTGGGTGCTTGTGGTCTCAACCACTTGAGAGGCTGAGATGGGAGGATTGCTTGAGTCTGGGAGACAGAGGTTGCAACGAGTCCAGATTTGCACCCTTGCCTGGGTGACAGTGAGGCCCTGTCCACACCCCACCCCATCAAAAAAAAAAAAAAAAAAAAAAGAGAGTATGGCTCAGAACGTCTCAACATGGTCTATAAACTTTTTAAGTCCTGACACTGGCTTTACTTCTGGCCCCTTTAACGATACTTATGACTTCCTTCATGTCTCCTGGATGGTTCTGTCTCCTTATTGCCTTGTGGCCTTTGACCTTGATTTTTTTTTCCTTTGTTTGGAATGTTCCTCCTCCCTATCCTGACAAAAAAACTCCTCTACTGGTTCAGAAAACTGGGCTCAGTTAGCCTTCCTCCATTCTCTCTTCCCTCTCCTCCAACTGCCAGCTGTGATAATCATTAACCTGCTCCCACTATATTCAGAAGATCATAACATAAACAATAATAACAGCGGTTAGGCAGGCCTCGTGGCTCACACCTTTAATCACAGCTAGTTAGAAGGCTGCTGCAGGAGGACAGTTTGAGTCCAGAAGTTTGAGGCTGCAGTGAGCTACAATCATGCCATTGCACTCCAACCTGTGTGATGGAGCTAGAAACCTGTCTCCAAAACTAAGAATAAAAATAAAATAACATTAACTATTAAAACTGGTTGAGCACTTCTATATACCAGCGTCTATATGTGAAGCTTTGCCGGGCGCGGTGGCTCACACCTGTAACCCCAGCATTTTGGGAGGCCGAGGTGGGTGGATCACAAGGTCTGGAGATCCAGACTGTGGTGAAACCCCATCTCTACTAAAAATACAAAAAAAATTAGCCGGGTGTGGTGGCGGGCGCCTGTAGTCCCAGCTACACGGGAGGCTGAGGCAGGAGAATGGTGTGAACCCGGGAGGCGGAGCTTGCAGTGAGTGGAGATTGCCTCATCGCACTCCAGCCTGGGCAACAGAGCAAGACTCCGTCTCAAAATAAATAAATAAATAAATAAATAAATAAAAATAAAAAAATAAAATTAAAAAAAATAAAAATAAAATATATGTGAAGCTTTGAAGGCATTAACCCATTTAATCCACACAATGACCGTGTTGTGTAGACACTTTTTTTTTTTTTTTTTGAGACAGAGTCTCCCTCTGTTGCCCAGGCTGGAGTGTAGTGATGTAATCTCCGCTCAATGCAACCTCCACCTCCTGGGTTCTGGGTTCAAGCGATTCTCCTGCCTCAGCCTCTCGAGTAGCTGGGATTATAGATGCCTGCCACCACACCCAGCTAATTTTTTGTATTTTTAGTAGAGATGGGGGTTTCGCCATGTTGGCCAGGCTGGTCTCAAACTCATGACCTAAAGTGATCTGCCCACCTTGGCCTCCCAAAGTGCTGGGATTACAGGCGTGAGCCACTGTGCCTGGCTGATAAACAATTTTTTTTTTTAACATCTTTTTTTTTTTTCTTTTTGAGAGGGAGTCTTGCTCTGTCGTCCAGGCTGGAGTGCAGTGGTGCGATCTCGGCTCACTGCAACCTCCACCTCCCAGGTTCAAGAGATTCTCCTGCCTCAGCTTCCCAAGTAGCTAGGATTACAGGCGTCCGCCACCACACCTGGCTATTTTTTTGTATTTTTAGTAGAGACAGGTTGTCACCATGTTGGCCAAGCTGGTCTCGAACTCCTGACCTCAGGTGATCCGCCCACCTTGGCCTCCCAAAGTGTTGGGATTACAGGCATTAGCTACCGTGCCTGGCCTTTAACATCCTTTTATTGTAACACTTATCTCATTGTTTTTAAATGGCTTATACTTATTAGTGTCCTATTTTTTTTTTTTAATATGATGAAGTCAACACTTGCATTTAACCAAATCTTGATTCCCAAGGATTGTGTAATGTGAGATATTCAGTGCAGTGGTGGGAGAGGCTTGGAGTCTGAGCAGAGGCTTTGGAGTCACTCCAATCATATATCATCTTTGCCCTTGCACTAAATGGTATCACCATCCTCTCAATTGCTTAAGGAAACAACCTGGGATTCATCTTGTTTACTACCTTTCTTCACACCTGCACCTCAGGAAAATATCCTGAAATCTTTCAATTTCTATTTCCACACCAACCAGCCTAGTCCAGGTACCACCATATACCCCATGAACTTGCCCAATAACTTTGTATTGTTCTTCAGCTCCTTTTGTTCCATTTCTGCTCCCTTCAAGTCATTCTCTATAAAATAGTTTGATTAAAAAATAAATAAACTAATGGCTGGGCACAGTGGCTCATGCCTATAATCCCAGCAGTTCAGGAGGCTGAGGCGGGAGGAACACTTGAGCCCAGGAGTTCAGGACCAGCCTGGGCAATACAACGAAACCCGTCTCTACAAAAATACAAAAATTAGTCTGGTGTGGTGGCGCCTGCCTGTAGTCCCAGCTACTTGGGAGGCTGAGGTGGGAGGATGACTTAGTGAGCCTGGGGAAGTAGAGGATGCAGTGAGCCCTGATTGCACCACTGCATTCCAGCCTGGGCAACAGAGTGAGACCCCATCTCAAAACAACAAAAACCCAAACCCTTCATTATCTTGCCTTGCACTTAACAGACAAATCCAAACAACGTGATTAGGTTCCTGCTTAATGCTCTAAATTCAACTTCAAACCCCTACTTAACATGCTGAAGCCTCCTGGCCTGTTCCTCAAACAGCCACGCTTCAGCATTAGCCACAGTTCAGCATCGGGGCCTTCACACCCATTATCCTCTGTCTAGAATGTTCTTCCTCCCCATAGTTGGCTTGGCTGGCTCCCTCTTGTCATTTAGGTCTTAGCTCCTAAATTGTCTCCTCAGAAAGTCCTGCCCTGACCATTTTGTTTTGTTTTCTGCTCAATACTTATCACTGCCAGTGATTAGCTCATCTATTCGTTTTATTATTTATGTTCTCCATTAGAAACACAATCTTTTGTTGTTTGAAACAGAATCCCACTCCGTCGACCAGGCTGCAGTGCAGTGGTCTGATTTTTTGGCTCACTGCATCCTCCGTCCCTCACCCCCCACCCCCCCAACACAGGCAATCCTCCCACCTCAGCATCCCGAGTAGCTGGGACCATAGGGGCCTGCCACAATTCCCAGCAAATTTTGTTGTCGTTGTTGTTGTTTTTAAATTCTGTAGAGAGGGAGTTTCACTATGCTGCTCAGGCTGGTCTTGTACTCCTGGCCTCAAAGTGATCCTCCTGCCTCAGTCTCCCAAAGTGCTGAGATTATAGGCTTGAGCCACCTGTTTGTTTCCTTTCATACCTAGTCCTGCCGAACATAAGCCTCTAAGCGCAGCGGTTTCTTCTGTTTATTCACTGTTGTACTTCTAGCACCAAGAATACTATCAAAATTTTTTGAATGAATGAATCAAACAGTGAAAAAGCGGGTCATCTTGGTGTGTATAAAAGGTAGCGAACAGATTCCCAACAGAAATGAGTTCCTATGTTCCTACTGCTCTATAACTAGCGGGAATGGGGAGGGGAAGCAGCTGGGGTCTACCAGACCCTGTCACCAACTAGTTGGCACACGTGGCAATCACAGTTGTAGAAGAGGCCAAATGGAGCAGTTCTGCCAATGACAGCCAGTACTAAACTCGACTGGACACTGAGGGCCAGTTCTGCTTTGAGTGAACAGTGCAGCCTGCTGGGTGGCCAAGGGAACGTGTACAAATTCACTTTGTTTAAAGGACCACAGAAGTAGTCAGTTCTGTTAAACCTCATCTATTTCTTCGGGGATTTTTGTCCTGGGGAGGAGAGGGGAAGAAGCAATTAGTCAGGCCAGGCTAGCTGGTATTAGTTTGCAGGCTGCGAGTGCAACTCTTCAGTCTCTGCTCCTCTCATCATTGCCTTTTCACCTACCTTTACCCTAAATTCACCTACACCTCTGCCTTCACAAAATCCAAGCGATTAACTATTGTATTTAATCTCTGTCCCAAATCTCTCTGCATCATTCTTCTTTTGATTATGAAGTCACGAGGGCCCTTTATTTATTTTATTTAATGTTTAAAAATTTTTTTATTTTTGAGACGGAGTCTTGCTCTGTCGCCCAGGCTGGATGGAGTGCAGCCGCACGATCTTGGCTCACTGCAACCTCCACCTCCCGGGTTCAAGCGATTCTCCTGCCTCAGCCTCCCAAGTAGCTGGGACTACAGGCGCCCACCACCACGCCCGGCTAATTTTTTTTGTATTTTTTAGCCAGGATGGTCTCGATCTCCTGACCTCGTGATCCGCCCGCCTTGGCCTCCCAAAGTGTTGGGATTACAGGTGTGAGCCACCGTGCCCGGCCCTATTTATTTTGTTTTTAAAACTTTTTTTGAGAAGGAGTTTTGCTCTTATTGCCCAGGCTGGAGTGCAATGGCATAATCTAGGCTCACTGCAACCTCCGATTTCCGGGTTCAAGCAATCCTCCTACCTCAGCTTCCCGAATAGCTGGGATTACAGGCGCGTGCCACGACGCCCGGTAATTTTTTGTATTTAGTAGAGACGGGGTTTCACCATGTTGGTCAGGCTGGTCTCGAACTCCTAACCTCAGGTGACCCAGCCACCTCAGCCTCCCAAAGTGTTGGGATTACAGGAGTGAGTCACCGCGCCCGGCCTCAAGGGCCCTTAAATATTACTTAGTTGTCCCATTATTTGGTGTGTTTTATTATTTGGTGCAGGTTTTGTCCCCTTACCTAGTTTGAATGTTGCTGAAGGACGCTGCTTTTCAAAGCCTAAGGAATCTCCTGATAAAGCACGAATCTTGGTGTGTAGATAAGTCAGCGATTCTTGCTTCTGGCTAGTTCTACGTTGTTCCTGGATGGTTGAGTTCAAACTGCAATGATCCACAGCTCCAGAAGTGGCTTATTCCAGTCGGCCTAGGAGCCAAACGACCCCGCAGCTCCATGCTACCACGCAGGATGCCGTTTCGGACTTGCAGGGAGTTGTAGCAGTCCGGTTTTGGCTTCACCTTCTACAGCTAGGGTGGAAGTGTCAAGCAAGATGTTGTCGCTGGTGTCATGATGTCCAGGTGAGAAGCTTACCTGGCAGGCTGCCAGGGCCAGCTAAGAGCGCTGGCGCCGGGAACCCGCGCGCCCGGGAAGGGGCGGGGAGGTGGGCGGAGCCTGGCAACCTCGGGACCACCAATAGGATGCTCAGCCGGAGCTGGCCCTGCGCGTGACGCAGCGGAGCTCGGAGGCAGGGGGCGTAGGGGCCGGGCTGTCCGGCGTTTTATCTTTCTCTGCCGCCCAGCAGGCGACGTTGCGGGCGCTGGGCGCCAGGAGAGGTTCCCGGAGCCGACCTTCCTGCTGGCCGCTCTGTGACTGCTTCCCAGCTCTGCCCTCTTGGCTGAAGTCCCCGCTGCCGGGCGCGGGCCTCAGGTAACGGTGGTGCTCCCGCGCCGCTCCTCGCTTCCCGCTTGGGTCCACCGGCCTCAGCCCGCGGGGAAGCGGTGGCGGCAGCAGCTCCGACTCGGCCTTGTCCTGGGCTGTGCTGGGGCGAAGGCGAGGCTCGGCGAGTGCAGGGGAGTTGGGGAGGAGAGGGCGGGAAAGTTACCGTCAGGCGCCCGGGTCACGGGAAGCCTTTTAAACCCTGCACTCTGGTTTGGTATTCCCGAAATCTCGTGACATCTCTCAAGTCGGTAGTAAAGAAAGTTAGGAATTGGAAGACGTTTTATTCTTTAAAAAGCGAAACCAAAAATGCACTCAGGAAGTCAGCTTTTTAATGATTTAGAGAAAATGTGTGAAGGGAAGGATGGCATTAGCAAGACATGAAAATCTGTATGGGCACCAGAACCTTTAATCAAGCTCATGTTTTATTTTAAAATATTAGGATGTAGTTAAGTTTCTGTTTTCCCTAAGTGTTAATGGCCATGTAATTTAAATAATATGTATATTGAACGACCATCTCTAAATGAGAAACAACTATATAAACTTTATTCTCTGTATTTATATATAGGTTAAGTTCGTTGGTCACTTATTTTTGTTTGTTTGAGACGGAGTCTCGCTCTGTCGCCAGGCTAGAGTGCAGTGGCGCAATCTCGGCTTACTGCAACCTCCGCTTCCCGGGTTCAAGCGATTCTCCTGCCTCAGCCTCCCGAGTAGCTGGGATTACAGGCGTGCGCCACCACGCCCAGGTAATTTTTGTAGTTTTAGTAGAGACGGGGGGTTCACCATGTTGGACCAGGCTGGTCTCGAACTCCTGACCTCAAGTGATCCGCCCGCTTCGGCCTCCCAAAGTGCTGGAATTACAGGCGTGAGCCACCGCACCTGGCCTGTTGGTACTTTTTAATGTTTAAGTGACTGCCACCTATTTAAACTTTTTTTTTTTTCAGCGTACTTGGTTTCCTCTTCCTTGAAGTAGAATTCAATTTGAAGCTTTTTGTGTGTGTGTGTATGTGCTTTTTAAAAGTTGGGCGGTGTCAGTGAATGACTTGTTAAGGAAGTCTGTGTGTTGTCTGGGTGTGAGAATCGGTTTTGGAAGGAGCTCTGTGGCATTGAATTGTCGTTTAGAAATGCACGTGTTTTAGTGAATCATGTGCTAAGAACCCCTCTGAGGTTTCGCAATCTTTTAGGATAAAGACCTACTGAGTGAGCACACTCTTTCTATCTCTGGTTCATTTGGCCCACTTTCCTTCTGGCTTTCCAGGTTCATGCCACACTGGCTTTATTTTTGTTACTGGAAAGCTACATTTTCTTTCCTATCTCCTGGCTTTTGGGAGTTTCCTCCACCTCTAATGCTATATTCTCTCCCTCCCTCCAACTCTTATACCTGCCTCATATATCAGCCCACATATCGCTTCCTCTGGAAATCACCCCATCCCCATTAAGCCCTCCACGAACTCTTTATTCTCCTTAGCAGAAGTTGATCATTAATTGTAATGAATTAGTTGCTTTGTTCCTCTGCTAGTACATTTCATGAAGGCTGGTTTAGCCTATCTGTTAATTCTCAGGGTTGGCCCAATGAAAGAATGAGTAAGTTGGTAGACAGAGGAAGGAACTTTTGAATGAGAAATATAGTGATCCCCGCTTAGCCGCTTTCTGTAGTGTCAGCTACCTAAGGTGGGAAACAAGAGTACAATAAGACATTCCGAGAGAGACCAAGTGAATTTTAATACAATATATTGTTAATCTCTTACTATGCCTAACTTATTGAAACTTTGCCTCCCAGGTTCAAATGATTCTCATGCCCCAGCCTCCCAAGTAGCTGAGATTACAGGCGTGTCCCACTATGCTCGGCTAATTTTTTTTTTTTTTAAGATGGAGTTTGGCTCTTTGTTGCCCAGGCTGGAGTGCAGTGGCGCGATCTCGGCTCACCGCAACCTCCGCCTCCTGGGTTTAGGCAATTCTCCTGCCTCAGCCTCCTGAGTAGCTGTGATTACAAGCGCCTGCCACCACACGTGGCTAATTTTTTTTTTTTTTTTTTTTATTGGTAAAGACTGGTCATATCTTACTGATCAGGCTGGTCTTGAACTTCCGACCTCAGGTGATCCCCGGCTCAGCCTCCCAAAATTCTGGGATTACAGGCATGAGCCACCGCGCCTAGCTCCCCTGGCTAATTTTTGTATTTTTAGTAGAGACTGGGAGGGTTTCACTGTGTTGGGCAGACTGGTCTCAAACTCCTGACCTCAGGTGATCTGTCTGCCTCGGCCTCCCAAAGTGCTGGGAATACAGGCATGAGCCACTTTGCCTACCTAGCCTGTAGATGAAACTTTATAATAGGTATGTGTAGGAAAAAACAACGTGTATTGGATTCACTGTTATCCACCGTTCTAGGGATCCACTGGGAGTCTTGGACCGTATCCCCCATGGATATGGGAGAACTACTGTATTAACCAGGGAAGAGTCCCTTTTTCCTATGGGAAAAAAAATGGAGAAAGTTTTTAACAAAGACTAGCTAAATTCATTTTTTTAAGAGGATGGCTTTGTTTTGCTTTTTTTTTTTTTTTGCCACATTGGTTAAGAGATTATACTAACCATACAGATGTAAATGAGAATTTGTTCCTGTTCTTTAGTTCTGCTAATTACTTAATGACCCAGTTCTGTGACATGTAAAAGTTGTAGCGCTGTGTTAGGGCAAACCTTTGGGTGCCAGAGGGAAAGATTTTTTTGCTCTGGATTGTAAATTCTATCCACAGTTGTGTCCCTTTTCCCCCACTGAATCTAAGGGTGATGTGGCAAAGTTCTTCACCTGGAGGGGACACTCAGTATTTGTGATTCAGATTTATGGGCTCTTTTGAAAGCTTTATTAATGGGAACACTGAGCAGGCTAAAGTTGACATGTCTTTCCAAGTTCATTTGTTTCTCAAATCAGTTCTTTTTGTTTTGCTTTCTTAAGATAAGTTAGATGCTTATCACACTGTATGATAATGTAATTGCGTGCACAGATTACATTCTTAAGAAATTCTTATTCAATCAGTGTGTTGTATAAATAGCTGTCTACTTAGCTTTATGTTACCTGTGACTTTGAATAAGTTTGTTAGCATTTCTGAATCTCCTGCATCTTTAAAAATGGACATATTAAATGAGATATGTGCTACACCTCCTGCTCTCAGCACTTTGTTACCTGCTTCCTAAACATTAGCGATTCCTTCACTGCTAGATCTCTTGAGAGACTAGTCTTATGATCGCTGTTTTCACTTCCTCAACTTACTTGCAGCATACTCCACTATATTTCTTTGTCCTTCCTCCTAAAACTGTGCATGTAATCAAATCGTAGCTATGCATGTCCCCCAGTTGTGAAATATCCCATGTCCTGTCCTCCTCTTCTTTCCTTTCCTTTTCTTTTCTTTTTTTTTTTTTTTGAGATGGAGTCTAGCTCTGTCACCCAGGCTGGAGTGCAGTGGCATGATCTCAGCTGACTGCAACCTCCGCCTCCTGGGTTCAAGCAATTCTCTGCCTTGGCCTCCCGAGTGGCTGGGATTACAGGCACCCGCCGCCACCGCCCCTGGCTAATTTTTCGGATTTTTAGTAGAGACAAAGAGTTTCATCATCTTGGCCAGGCTGGTCTAGAACTCCTGACCTCGTTATCCACCCACGTCGGCCTCCCAAAGTGCTAGAATTACAAGCGTGAGCCAGTGCGCTTGTTTAAGAAACAGTGGAAGGCCAAAGTAATGAGTAGAGAAAATGAGAGCGCCAAGATCATGCCACTGCACTCCAGCCTGGGCAACATAGGGTGACTCCGTCTCAAAACAAAAACAAAAACAAAACAAAAACAAAACAAAAAAAAAGCCGAGTGCGATGGCTCACGCCTGTAATCCCAGCACTTTGGGAGGCCGAGGCAGGTGGATCACCTGAGGTTGGGAGTTCGAGACAACCTGACCAACATGGAGAAACGCCGTCTCTACTAAAAATACAAAATTAGCTGGTTGTGGTGGCCTGTAACCCCAGCTGCTCTGGAGACTGATGCAGGTGAATCGCTTGAACCCAGGAGGTGGAGGTTGCAGTGAGCTGAGATCGTGCCATTGTACTCCAGTCTGGCCAACAAGAGCAAAACTCCATCTTAAAAAAAAAAAAAAAAAATTGATGGTATTTAAGGAGTTGGTGGTGAGTGGCAGGTAATGTAGGAGTTACTAGATCATGGTAAGGACTTATGATGTTTGAAGGGGTTTGAGTTGTGAAGTGACTTGATCTAACTTATCTTGAGTGCAATGGCGCAATCGAGGTTCACTGCAACCTCTGCCTCCAAGTTAAAGCGATTCTTCTGCCTCAGCCTCCCGCGTAGCTGGGACTACAGGTGCCTGCCACCACGCCTGGCTAATTTTTTGTGTTTTTAGCAGAGACGAGCTTTCACCGTGCTAGGCTAGCCAGGATGGTCTCCATCTCCTGACCTTGTGATCTGCCCACCTCAGCCTCCCAAAGTGCTGGGATTATAGGTGTGAGCCACCATGCCCAGCCCTGTTTTAGCTTTTGATGTAAGGTTTCCTCTAAAGTAGCTTGATGGTTCCTCATCTTATTACCAAGGGCCCTCTTTTTATATTTCTTTTTTTGGAGACAGGGTCTCACTCTGTTGTCCGGGCTGGAGTATGGTGGTACAACTTGTGCTCACTGCAACCTTTGCCT